TGTCTAACTACAACTACCTCCTGCCTTGCTGCCTGCCTACCTACCTAACCTACCTAACCTGCCCTACCCTACCCTACCCTACCCTACCCTACCCTACCCTACCCTACCCTACCCTACCCTACCCTACCCACCTACCGACCTACCTACCTACCTACCTACCTGCCTGCCTGCCTGCCTGCCTGCCGACCGACCGACCTACCTACCTGCCTGCCTGCCTGCCTGCCTGCCTACCTACATACTCGGGTACGTGCACACATGCATACATGCTTATGTCTTGTCTTTAAGGAAGCTAACGTTAATGCCGTGTCATCTTCGTGTCTGCTTTTTGTTTGCATCTTCCCAGCATTCGCATGCTCTCGCTCTGCGATTTGGAGTTTGCTAATCCACCCATTTCCCGAAAGCGACTTAAATAGTTCATGTTCCCTATTCCTTGGGCTTGAGTCGAGGTTTGACGGTGTATGTTGTGACTGATCAAGGCAGTCTCCGTGAAACCAAAGCAAAGCGAAGTTGCGGCTGCGAGGACGCCATCGCCGAGATCCACGTGGACCTGGACAAAAGGGCTGGCTCCATCCTTGAGCTGCAGGGCGCCTCCGGCTCCGGAGCAACGAAAGGTCCCTTGGAGGCGGAAGCCCTGGAGGCGGAGCTTTCGCAGGAGCAGGCGCTCTTCGATTTGAGGCATCGCCAGGTCTTGGGCCTCGAGGAGCGGCTCCAGGACCTCTTGGCCCAGGAGCCGCGAAACAAGTGCCGCAGTCTGTCTTCCGAGGGTGTAGGGGATGTAGGGGATGTGAGGATGTGTTTCGAGTTCTGTGCGGTGCGTTTGTAGAGAGGTCGGCTTTCCTTTCCGGACTCCTGTCCCCTGCTCCTCGAGCACAGGAGGGCCCTCGCATGGAGGTTCTCGGCGCTTGGGTGGCTGTGCACGAGCCGCTCCTAACGAAAGAGCTGGAGCAGGCGGAGCAGACGGAGCACACAGCGGAAGTGGAGGTTCGAGCAGAAGAAGCGAAGCAGGATCTTGGGGCATGTCGGGTGCGGGATCAGAAAACGGATTCGGAGACGACCTTCGCGCCTAGACTTTGGAAGGAGTTATGCGCCGACATGGCAAAGCAGCGGAGATCCGAATTCGTTTTCCTGACCGAGGCCAGCAGCCTGCGTGCGTGCTGCACATGAGGGCAGCGAATCTATAGCTGCAAGTCTTCGCTCTGCACTTCCCTCGCACTTGCCTTTTCTTCGGCATCTTGCTTGTGTTTTGCCCGATCTGAACTTGCATTGCATCTGACCAGGGACTTTATCAAAAGAACGTAGACTGGCTTGCAGGCTTTGTGCCTCAAGATTCGCTGCGACGCGACTATTCGCTTATACTGCCATGTAAACAAAGCGCTCCAGTTCCGCACTGTCCTGCCACAACAGTCAAACACTACTGCTCTTGGCATCCTGGCAGGCCAGCGCGGCTGCGGCGGAGGAAGCAGACAAAGCTGCGCGCGAGGCCCGCGCACGGTCAGTGTGGAGTATGCTGCTGAGATGTGGCGGCGTGTTCCTCTACAGGCAGCAGCGCTGTACCGACAGCGTGGGATTCTCCTGCGGGATGTGGATGGTCTGGCACGGGAGGCGCAGTGCACAGCGTGGGGCTGGAGAACATGCAGTCGTTGCGCACTGAAAGATGGCAGGAGCGCGCTGCTGCTGGCCGTGCAGACTCAGCTTGCCAGCGCCTGCGCCGGGACCGGCGGCGAGCGGTTGCCGCAACGACGAAGCAGCTCTGGGAGCCAGGCGGGCAAAGAGCAAGAGCTCAGAGGGCGTCCGTGAGATTTCGTGGCGGTGGCGAGGTCGCACAAGCCTTCTTCGAGGGACTTGTCCCCAAGAGGCGAGGAAGAGAGCAGCGGCCCAGGCCGGTGTTTGGCATGCTCCTAAATTCCCAGAGCACCGTCCCAAGCGACTGTGGGCAAGCTATTTCCATTGTTTACCGGCACCAGCTAAGCTTTCCTCCACCGCTCGGGAGGGTCCGCTTTATCCCAATCCTGTTCTTGGGCCTGACGTGTTGAAGGCTAGAAATGTCAGCAATGCTTCCAATCGTTGATGGAGATGGTTGAGGCAGAAGAAATGGTCGAGGCTTCGCGTGGACAGCAGTTGCTCGGTTGAACATGCGTCGTGCGTGCAGACGTGCAGTCAAGGCAGGCGTGTTCCGAGGTTGCAGGAACTGCAGCTTTTCAACGAGGAGATAGCCATGGTCACTGCTGAGATGGTCGAGCTCAGAAAGGACCTGGCAAAGGCCATGGCGGGTATGCAATCAATATGAGCTGAGGCTCTTCTTGGGCAGATGTAAGCCCGCTTAGAAGAATTGCGCCCTAGTCAACAGCCTGTCGCTTCGTTCACTCCGCATGTTCTAAACCAGGCCTTGCCAAGACTGTAACCCCATGAGCGGAAGGAAAACTAAGCCAATCGCTCACGGAAGGAATGCGGAGGGGTTTGGCAGAGGGGGCAGGGGCGGGGACGAGCAAATCAGGGGGCGTGCCTCCAGCCCCACTCTCCACAGTTAAAATCCCTGGTCGTGGGGGACCAATTTATTATATGTTGTTCTTGGAGTGCCCAGTGGCCCACTTAAGTGAGGGCTGGGTCACTGGGGATATGGGAAAAAGATTCCCGGAGTGGAAAGAGGGAACCTGTGACTGCTTCGGCCGAGGCCGAGGTGAATTTCCTTTAGATGTTGCATGTGGACAAGTGATTTCTTTTGCAAGGGACTGCCTGAACATACCAAGTACAGCTCGCTGCTCTGTGTTCGATCTTCCACATGCATCAGTTGCGCTTCGTGCATGGGATGCGGAAGCCTTCTCGGCTAATTTAAAAAGTTCGGCGGAATTTTGTCAGAGTGTGTTCGCGAGGCCGAGGACGCCGCAGCAGAGAAGTGGACGCACCCTGAGGCTCTAATATGACCTTGACAAGACGACTGCAGTCCGGTGCAGAGCGGGTCGCCAGGCTCAAAGACAGCCAAAGGTTGCAGAAACGTCGAAGGAAGTGATTCCTCGAAATCATTCAGGCGGCGTGCATTTGCAAATCTCTTCTCCCGGCACTGCAAAGCGTTCCCCCAGAGGCATACGCAAGGGAAGCGTGGGCAAAAAGGCCTCTCAGGCGCCTCGAAACTGGGGCGACGGCCGTGCTGATTTCTTGCAACGATCAGGGTCGACTGGAGATCGTCGCGACAAGTCTACGCGAGCTGGAGCAGCAGGAGCAGGCGCAGAGGGCGGCAAGAGCCTGGGATGAGCAATGATCGCCGGGGAGGACCTAAAAGGCCTGAAAGGATCAGTCTGTAAAGCTGAAACAGGCGTGAGGGCTCACGTTCCTTTGACCTGAGCCGGAGCCTAGGAGAGTGCCGGGCTGTGGAGCTAACGGCATCTCTGGAGGCGGCCGAGGCAGAGACAGGGAGACGGTTCTGCAATGGTGCGGCCCCGACCTCGGCACATGGCCTTGGAAGGCCTCGCTGCAGCGCTGTCGCGCTGAGCACCGCGCCACCTCGGCCGGAGCCCTGCGCCGCCTACGCCGTGCTGCCCGGGAGGCGAAGTCGCGAGCCTTGCGAGCCGCTGGAAGTCCGGAAATCGTTACCTGAAATCGTTGCTGCTTAACCGAGCTCGGCCGGCAGGCTGAAGAAGCGGAGCGGAGATGCTGCGAGCTGGCTGTCGCCAAAGACCGTGTTTGTTGGGGCCTCGGGTGACCCCAAGCAACCATCCACATCTTGGACAGGATTTTTCTGAGACCGCAACCACCCATACAAGAAAAACCCCACACACACACCACAGAAATACTTTCAAACCCCTTCAACACACCCCCTTTACCCTATCTTTTGCTGCTAAATCTCATAGAGTCATTTAATTTGCAACCATCAACTATCCTTCAGCCAAGGCCTGGCTTTGCGCGATGTGGCCTTTGCCGCTCCGGCCGACGAGGCCCAGGAGCGCACCGCCAGCGAAGTGCAGTCTGTCTCTGTCGACAATCATCATGATTCACATGATCTGTTCCGCACATGTGTGTATATATATATATATAACATAGAGATACACTTGTATATAATATGTATCTGAGTATGTGTATGTATATCTTTGCAGATATGAACAAACACAGAATATAACAAAATCTTACCAAATATAACAATCCACTGAAGCAGCATCTAATCCCCTCTCATTCTCATTTCAGTTAATCTAGTCTAGTCTCATCTAACCGAACCTAATACTATAGCACACTACACTTCACTGCACTACACCACACTGTACTATGCCATACTGTACCTTACTATACTGTACACTATACGACAACATGCTATACTATACAATACTGTGATGTAATAGAAGAGAATATCTTATACTATACTATAGCATTTTACTATACTATATGGTTTTATCTGTTCTGATCTTGTCTTATTTTATCTCCATGGTTGTATGTTATGTTATACTATACTGTGCTATGTTACATTATACAATATTATGTTGTAGTCTGTTATGTTCTTTTAGGTTATGCTATAGTGAAATGCAACGTATCATACCAGGCTATGTTTTCTATGTTATGTTATACTATACTATATGGTACTGCATTGTATTTTAGCATACTTTATTATGTTTTGTCGTGATATATTATATACTTATTATGTTATATTCTCTCACAGTATGTTAGATTAGGCTGTATATTAATATATCACATGATAATATAGGATATGATATGGCATTATATGATAATATATGATATTAAATGATGTTATATGATATTATATGATATGACATTCTATGATCTTTTGTGATGTTAATGTTATACTGCGTTGTCTTATTATACTGTATCATATTATATGACATTATGTTGGATTATATTAGATTATTAGATTTGACGAATCTGTATTGCTTTATATAATGTCATATGATTGAACTTTCTACTAATTTCTGACGTTATATATATATATATATGTACATAACCCAAAGAAACGTTCAGCTTAGCGCTTTGGACAGGCCTGGTGAGCTGTAGTGAGTCTCGAATTCAGTTTGGCTTGGTACGCAACATATTTTTGTGCATTTTGCGCTGGACCACGTGAACATGATTTGTGACCGCTACTCTTCCCAGTGCAGCCAACATGACGCAAGAACACCTATCTCAGTTCCCTACAGTTGCGGAGTGGCATTGTTGATGCCGCGAGTCGCGAGTATATTCATATGTAAAGATATGCACACACGCACACATCTCTTTCTTCTCTCTATTTCTGTCTCCTGCGTGACTGTCACAATAGAACAATAATAACTACATTCAGCCACACTATACATGCGCATGGATGTTTTCACTTGTGTGACCTTGTTGCGTCTGAAGAGGCCTCGCAACAAGCTGTGGAACAGCCAGAGCCCGGCCCAAACCTGGCTGCCGAAGAGCGGAGGCCCCCGGTCGCCAAGCAAGCACGCACGCGCGGCCTTCGTCTCCCTCTCTCTCTCCCTCTCTTTCTCCCTCTGCATGCTCTTCCAGTACCCTTGGTGCCACGCACAGGTTCGTTGTTTCCAGAGCCGACTGACGGTTTCCGTTCTTCTAGCAAGTCTGCAAGTGATTCATTTGGATTTCGGGGTAATGGAAAGCTTGTCCGATTCCAGGCCAGGAGCGGGCGAGGCGCCAATCGATCCTGAGCTCCGAGCCCTCTATCGCCAGGCTTGGGTGTCAGTGCAGAGTTCGGGTTAAACCTTAAAGGTGCCGCTGAAACGCTTAGCTTGAGCCATCAGAGATGCTTTCGGGGCTCGACTTTGATCCTCATTGCGGTCTGTCGTGTCCAATTCCGGAGGTGCTGCCGCTGCTCCGAGGCAGCGCGGTCGCTGCGCTGAGACCTCCACGCAAAGCCCTGGAGGCGGGTGAAAGGGTGGACGTGCTTCGAGGGCTGGCGACGGGCGAAAGTCGAGTGTGATACGTGCAGGAAAGACAGCTCGCCAGATGCTTAATGGCTTCATTTGCAGTTGCAAACGTGAAAAACATGCCGTTGCGTGGAATTGAGGTGCTTAGTTCAGATCTTCAACGGCTGGAGCTGTGGATGCAGGGTTCTCGGTGGAAACGTCATGGAGCCTTAGCCTAGCTGAGATGTGTCGTACTTGAGGCCTACAGACTCGCCTGCGACGTCGGATGCCCAATGCTCCTCCCGTGGTGTGGGACCGCCCAGGGTCCAATGGGGCCCATCCCAGGCGATCGGAGAGGGCAGAAGCCACGGAAGTCTCAGGCCATCTCGTGGCCTGGGCCCAAGGCTGATGAAGTCAGAAGGTCCTTCTGTGGCAGTGCAACACCTGCTCTGTCAGGCGCGCAAGCGCGTCGCGGACGCTTTTCTCAGGCCCCGTCCCCCCCCGTTCGCCTGGGTCAGAGGTGTGTTGCGGCGCTTTGATTCAGAGCATGTCCTCTCCTCGCTCCCCAGCGTCGGAACCGCTTCAGCTGCCGCTCGATGCCGAAGGTTGGACACGCTGACCCGAGCCGTGAACTCAGAGGAACTCACGCCAGCCTTGTGTGGCAGTCCGGGTAGAGCACATGCAGAGCTTCGCTGAATCCAGACCTTCGAACTGCAAAACTTGCAACTGAAAGTCTAGGATGTGCAGCGCTAATTCAGCTGTATTTAGCTGTGGACCTCTACGATTTCCAGTGACGTCCAGCCGAACATGAGAGGGCCTCCATCCTGGAAGTTACGAGTTTCAGGTTTCTCGCGGTAAGTTTCGGTGTCCAGTTTCCGAGCGGTTTCGGAACATGCTGCGGGCAGTTTCGGATCCTGCCCGCTTCAGTTTCGGTTCAATGCCGGTGTCGATTTCGGGCCCTGTGTGCAAACAACACTGCTAGTCCTAGCCCCCCAAAGCCGGATCCACATGCATGGCCACACCATCCACAACTCCGCGATGGCCATGCGAAGCGTTCTAGGCCCGCACAACCTCGTACAGAGCCCTGAAACTCCAAACTTACAAGGCCACAGTCGTGCGCTCATGCAGTTGATCGGCTTTTGTTATCCAAGCCCCTAACTAAACAGTAGCCGTTGGTTGTTAACCAGCCTCCTCATCGGGCGATCACAACATTTCGGCAAGCGGTCTTTGCCTTCACCATCACTTCTGTGCCAACAACACATGGGGAAGGCAAGCGGCAGATGGCCGTTGCCGTCACCATGGCTTTGGTGCAAAAACACACGGTGCACGCAAGCGGCCGTTGCCTTCACCATGGTTTTGGTGCCAAGAAGCACATGGTCAAGGCAAGAGGCCGTTGCTTGCATCATAGTTTTGGTGGCAAAACACATGGAGTTGTTGGTTTGATCTTCTTTTGGTGCGAAAAACACACGATCAAAGCAAGATGCAGTTGCCTGCACGTTTTTGGTCGTGCGTTTGTTTCGCCGTCGTCGTGGCTGTCGTCGTCCTCGTTGTGCAGTGCTGTCCTTGTGGTTGTTGCTCAGCGGTCCGATTCAAGGCTTGTGAATGGTCTTCGTGCTGTTTTCGAGTCTTTTTGTGGTTCCAGCATCAGTTGCGGGAGATCCGAAACTAGAACTCCGAAGCTGTGGGCAGCAATCCATCCTTCTTCCAGTCACCTGCTCCTTGCAAGCGGTAAGCGGAAGTCTGTTAAAAATTTTCAGGTGCACCTTCCGAAAGCCACGCTGCTGGCGCAGCGGAAGGCCGGAGCACAGAGAAAAGGCCGTCATGACAGCTCCTTTGGGAAGCCCAGGCGGCCCAGGCGGCCCAGGCGGCAACAAGCAAGCCCAGGCCCAGGCCTAGGCCAGACTCCGCCAACAGCGGCTGCCAGTTGGGCAACCGGCCCTGAGGGGCGGCTTGTGTGTGCAGGTTCTGGCTTCGGTTTGAGCTGGTCGTCGCGGGCTCTGACACATGGCAGCTCGCTGCGAGCGTCCCGTCCTCGAGTGTAGTGCTTTGCCAACCAATTTCGTGCTGGAACCCGGCCAAGGATGTACAAACCTTGCAGGCTATCACCAGCGCGGCTGCATGCTCAGCTTCAGTGGGGAGATTAGTGCACGCCAGAAGTCCCACCACGAGTTGGACATATCGAGGTGACGGCTTTGCTCACATCCCGGAAAAAGCTCGGGGCACTCGCTCTGAGAGACAGCCTCAGTGACTGAAAGAGAAGGAGAAGCATAACAGCACCTTGTGAATCCAAAGCGTCAGACATGAATATCTGGTACCTGCACGAGTTCAGAGTCTGCACGTCCAAGTTTGAATCCGAGGTGCAAGGCAACAACCGGGTTCCCTGTGCCTCTGATCTGCTCTTAGTTCATAGGTGCAGAGCTCGGCTTTTAACTATTTAACTGGTTGTGTCAGCCACCTTGGCTGAGTAAGATCTCGGCTGGGGTGCCTGAAGTGCCTGTTGTAGGTTCCTGCTAAGCGCAAGCGGCAAAGCGGAAGCTGTGGGCAAGAGCATGTTTGCAATGCAGGGTCTTTGCCGGGTCATTCAGTGTTGCTGGAGAGGCTTCTGCTCTAGCCGTGTGCCGCCGGATGCACTCGGACCTTTTCGACAAGGTGTATGTGGACTGCATCTTCGATGTTTGGTACGTCGCTTCGACGCGTGGGGTGCGCGGAGACACTTTCGAACCTGTGGCCGAATTGCTCAAAGATCCTGATCATGGCCTTTAGTGAGCTGGGGGTGAACATAAAGACAGTCTTCCAAAAGGAAAGGCATCTAAGGCCGCCGATCATGCCAGGGATATCGGATTCAGCACAGAGCCCGGAAGCTCGGGATGCCCGAGAAAAAGGTCAAAAGGAAAGACAACAGCCTTTGGCGCTTCGGGGTTCCGATTCGACCGGGCCCTCCATGCCACTTGGACCCCTCAAGGAGGACTCGCTAAAGGCTTGGGATTCGCATCTTTCGAAAAGATGCATTGTAGAATGGGCCTTCCCAATCGCAGGTCAGCAGAATTCGGGTGCCCCAACGGGACTTACCCTGCACGACCTGGAGGCAGGGATCAGTGCTGAGTCGACTTCCAGCAGAGCCGCACTTTTGCACCTGTGCTTGCAAGCTTCCGCATTATGCCGTACCGTAGAAATCGAGCCCTCTCAGTCTCGAAGCCTTCAAGATCCTTCAACATGCTGCACCTGACTTTGGCAGGAAGTTGGGGAAGCGCAACTACGCCCCGCCGGCCATCGAAGCAACACTGCGGCAGCGGCAGCAGCTGCAGCCTTCGCAGTCGGCGCCGCTGCTTCATGCGCGATCCGGGAGGCAGGGCCTCGGCGTCTCTCGCTTCTCACCCCTCTGTCTCGATCTTTCCTCTCTCGCTCTGTGGATCCCTTATTCGCAGGCCACAGACAGAACAAGGAGCCAAACGGAGACAGATAGGGACGGAGAGACGGAACATGCACCGGCACCGAAGGCTTAGAATTGGCTTCTGGCTGCAGCAGTGTCGGTGACTTGACTGGTCGGGTTCTGGCTTGGTGTGATAGAGCATCTGCTTTGCTCGCCATAGCGGGCATGACTCGCTTGTGATACTCATACGGATTTGGGACGTCAAAGAAGAGGGTTGTGAGATTATTAAAGCCGCGAAGTGGTCCCGCAGCAGTGGATGGAACTGCAGGCTGGCATGAAACTTGATTGCGATGGTATCGTTCGCCTCACTGTTTGCTGCTCGCCCGCCGCTACGACAGGGTGTTGAATCTGCGACATTGCCATGCAGATACCAAACCTTTGTCATGAAGCTTGGCTCCCTCAAAAAGGCCACCATGAGCTACTTTCAAAGTGTGCCTGGGGTGCCAGAGCGGGCCTTCCGTTCCGCACGTACGCTTGAACCACTTGCTCAACCGGGATCCAAGATGCTAACTTGCGCATGCACCGCTGTTGTCCTGTTGCACGGGGGCCTCGGCAATCTCACGAAGAGCCGATTTCCTGTCTGTACAGCCGAGCCTTCAGGCGAGACACACCCTTGAAGGGAGAAGACACCCGAGGACTGCGGGTGTGCGCTCGCGCGCAAGGCGGGGGATGTCCGTCCCTTCCCTTTGTCCCGGTAGAGAGACACAGAGAGAGAGAGAGAGAGAGAGACCGTAGCCATTTTGGCTCAAGCCGCGAGTGGTTCAAGGAGGAGCGGCCTCTCTGCCCCTCTCTCCCTCTCTTTTCTTACTGAGGTCCGCTCCGTCCTCAACCCGGGGGCCTGACCCGTCTTTAGGTCTCTTCT